GCACCCTGACTGGCTCATCTCCTCCCCGAGACCCCTCTGCAAGGGGATCTCCAGTGGCAGAGGCATGTACTTTTTGTTTGTAATAATTTTAGCATGTATGAACTGGGACCTTAGTAGCAGTACTTTTATTACTTTGTATTAGTATACCCCCTCCTTATTTATCAATTGTCCTTACCAAAAATTTGTATTTGGGACAATAGCGAGAAGTTTGCTTTTTTGTCCATTAACAATATGTATTTGGCATTAACAAATGGTTGTGTATCACCTTGTCTAGGTCATGATTCTCGGTGCTTTAATAGCTAAATATTGATGTAAATTACTCTCCTGGACATGTTGATAGGTGTGGGCTGAGTGGTGATAGATTCTGGAGGGTCACTAGTTTCAAAGCCAAAAATGTTCCAAGAAGTCTTAGGATGGAATTGTTTTTGCTGTTGCCGTTATTGATGTTTCCGAAGTACAACCGACTGGAGGCACAAAATAGCATCCCACAAGGGTCCTGAATGCAGTTCTGAGTGATGAGATCGCATTGTTGTAGAGTGTGCTTGCTTGTTCCTAACCAGGGAGCCCTGCAGGAGCAGCAGGCTACAATCCCAATCTTGTTGCCTCTTTTTCAAATGGAATTTGAATGTTGAAAAAAAACTTTTGGGAGGCATGCTAACACACATCCATAAAAGTTTTATGAATTCCAAATAAAACAGAGAGAGAACAAGAGGAAAGTTGTATGTTTTGTTGGTTCTACATTGCACCCTGACTAGCTCTTCGCTTCCTTGAGACCTTTCTGCAATGGGATGTCCAATTGTCTATAGGTGGGCTTTGGGTCTCCACTCTGCCCTCCCCATCATTCACATCGATATGATTTTTGTTCTAGGTCTTTGATACCTGATACCTGATGCCATCGATATACACAGGCTGGTGTGTTTCTTCCATGTGGGCTTTGTTACTTCCCTGCTAGATAGCTGCTTGTTTATCTTCAAGCTTTTACGACCCCAGATGCTATATCTTTGATAGTTGGGCACCATCAGCTTTCTCGATACTTCCCTTCTTTTCCCTTGCCTCCCCCTCTCCTTTGCCTTAGGGAATGCAGCTCCCAGGAGGCCCACTTGAACTGGTTCTCTGCAGCATCAAGCTTAGAAATTGGTAACCCATGAACAGCTTCTTGAGATTCTATCTCCGAGAATCAGTCTCCTCCACCAGCACTTCCAGTTTTCAACAATGGAGAGAAAATGGTTGTCTAGGGTCATCAAGCTCACTCTCCAAATCCTCCAGCAATTTCATTGCCTACTCTCCTCCATCCTCTAGAAGATGTTCCTCTCTGTGGGTTCTATGGCTACAAACTACTCTAGCACCACTAGCTCCAATATCTCTTCTTTTATGTGCATCTTGGCAGAGTTCTCGGAGTTGGCCCACAGCTTTCCATGACCCAGCTGAATCCTGGTAACCAAACTGCCAGAACCATTGCCAGAAACCTCTGGGTCACGAAGATGGTTCCAGAGAATGCACGATCCTTCTTCACCATCGGAATCCTCCTCCAACTGCACTCTCACACTATTTTCTTCCTTATCTGGAGCTGGGATGATAAGTATTGAATCTACTTTCACTGACTGTGCAGGAATCCAGAATTACAATACTTCAAGAAAAGATAACCAAGGCAGGGCCAAGTCCTCAGGGAAAATCCTGTTTTCTTCGCAGACACTCCTCCAGCTCAGGAACCGCAGCAGCCTCACTGTCCGCGGCAGACACCAGTTCTCAATTCTGTTGTTCTCATGAGTGTTCCCCACATCTCTCGAAAGGACCTAAACCTTCTTGTGAATCCAGTTTCTGGTAGCTTCATTGGTTCTTCTTCAGAATATGCCATCAGGTTTGGGTTTTTTTCAGGTTGTGCTTGTTTTTCCTGAGTTACTTGTTTTGGTTTACTGTGGTTGACTGCTATTTTCTTGGCATTATGGTACAGTTGATGTGTGAGCTGACTGGGTCATTTAGAGGTAGTTAGCTCTGTTTAATGATGTAGGAGAGGTCTAATACCAGCTGGAAAATATACGGTGGTGAAAAGGAGAAAGGGGGAGTGAGTTGGTAAGTGGGGAAAACGGAGGGGTGTGGGGAAGAGGGAGAATAAAATAAAAGTAATGATAGTACAATAAGTAGCCATCTGGATAGGCCAACAAATTTGTAAAAGTAATGGGGCACTCTATTTTTTTTTTTTT